TCATTATTTTTACTGTTATCATTATTGTTATTAGTTTTATCATCATTATATTTATTATTATCATTATTATTATTTATCATTACTATTACTATTATCATTATCGTTATTATTCAATTACATTAACACTCTCCTCTCACTGAATCTATTTATCACCCTTACCTTTCCTCTCACTCAGTCTCAGTCTCTCTCTCTCTCCTCACCTCTGTCAACTTCTCCTCTCATTCTGTCCTCTCTCTCCTCATCTCCGTCGGTCCTTTTCCTCATTCAGTCTTGTGTGTTACTCTGCGTTTCATTTTTTCATTGCATTTCGCTCCTCTCCCCGCAGGCGTCCTACCGCACACACGGTCGTGGACGGACTCAGTGAGCGTTACCCAATGAACCATCGACCCCGGGGCGCTGCTCTCATCTTCGCTCATTCCGAGTTCTTAGATAAAAGTCTCAACGTAAAGTTACTTCGCAATGTCACCAGAACCTGTGTGTATGTGTGTTTGCATGTGTGTATGTATGTATGCATGTATATATGTATGTATGTATGAATGTATGTATGTATGTATGTATGTATGTATGTATGTATGTATGTATGTATGTATGTATGTATGTATGTATGTATGTATGTAGGTATGTATGTATGGATAGATAGATAGAAGATAGATAAACATAGAGATAGATAGATAAAGAAATATGTGTAGGTAGAGAGACAGGTAGAATATAGATGTATATATTATAGAGATAGATAGATGGAGAGAGAAACTGATAGGTAGAGAGACAGGCAGACAAATATATAAAACACAGAAATAGATTGGTAGATAGAGGGCCTATAGAGATAGATCGCTAGATCAGTAGTTTACCACTTCACCCCCTTCGTGTCTCCTTCCCTCCTCCCCCCTTCCCCCCCTCGCACAACTTAAATTGAGATAAAATTATTGTTGCTGTTACTTAAATTGAGATGAAATTATTGTTGCTGTTACTTAAATTGAGATGAAATTATTGTTGCTGTTACTTAATAAATGAAAGATCATTTGGCTGTATTTTAGGAAAGAAAAAGGAAGAGAGACATTGTCAGAGTGAAAATAAAATGGGGATAGTAATGAATAAAGAAATAGTAATAGAATCAGTGAATGACAACTGTTTATGAAGGACTGGTTTATGAACGACAACGGTTTATGAGTGACTTCTATTTATGAATGACAGCTGTTTACGAGAGACTACTGTTTATGAATGACAACGGCTTATGAGTGACTTCTATTTGTAAATGACAGCTGTTTATGAATGACACCGGTTTATGAGTGACTATTTATGAATGATAGCTATTTACGAGAGACTACTGTTTATGAATGACAACGGTTTATGAGTGACTTCTTTTTGTAAATAACAGCTGTTTATGAATGACAGCTATTTATGAATGACACCGGTTTATGAGTGACTTCTATTGTAAATGACAGCTGTTTACGAGAGACTACTGTTTATGAATGACAACGGTTTACGAGTGACTTCTATTTGTAAATGATAGCTGTTTATGAATGACAACTGTTTATAGTGGATTAGTTTTTGAACGAGAACGGTTTATAAGTGACTTCTATTTATGAATGACAGCTGTTTACGAGAGACTACTGTTTATGAATGACAACTGTTTATAGTGGATTAGTTTTTGAACGAGAACGGTTTATAAGTGACTTCTATTTATGAATGACAGCTGTTTACGAGAGACTACTATTTATGAATGACACCGGTTTATGAGTGACTTCTATTGTAAATAACAGCTGTTTATGAATGACAGCTATTTATGAGTGACTTCTATTTGTAAATGACAGCTGTTTATGAATGACAACGGTTTACGAGTGACTTCTATTTGTAAATGATAGCTGTTTATGAATGACAACTGTTTATAGTGGATTAGTTTTTGAACGAGAACGGTTTATAAGTGACTTCTATTTATGAATGACAGCTGTTTATGAATGACAACGGTTTACGAGTGACTTCTATTTGTAAATGATAGCTGTTTATGAATGACAACGGTTTATGAGTGACTATTTATGAATGATAGCTATTTACGAGAGACTACTGTTTATGAATGACAACTGTTTATAGTGGATTAGTTTTTGAACGAGAACGGTTTATAAGTGACTTCTATTTATGAATGACAGCTGTTTATGAATGACAACGGTTTATGAGTGACTTCTTTTTGTAAATAACAGCTGTTTATGAATGACAGCTATTTATGAGTGACTTCTATTTGTAAATGACAGCTGTTTATGAATGACAACGGTTTACGAGTGACTTCTATTTGTAAATGATAGCTGTTTATGAATGACAACTGCTTATGAGTGACTTCTATTTGTAAATGACAGCTGTTTACGAGAGACTACTGTTTATGAATGACAACGGTTTATGAGTGACTTCTATTTGTAAATGATAGCTGTTTATGAATGACAACGGTTTATGAGTGACTTCTATTTGTAAATGATAGCTGTTTATGAATGACAGCTATTTACGAGAGACTACTGTTTATGAATGACAACGGTTTACGAGTGACTTCTATTTATGAATGACAGCTGTTTATGAATGACAACGGTTTATGAGTGACTTCTATTTGTAAATGATAGCTGTTTATGAATGGCAACGGTTTATGGGTGACTTCTAATTGTAAATGACAGCTGTTTATGAATGACACCGGTTTATGAGTGACTTCTATTTATGAATGACAGCTGTTTACGAGAGACTACTGTTTATGAATGACAACGGTTTATGAGTGACTTCTATTTGTAAATGACAGCTGTTTATGAATGACACCGGTTTATGAGTGACTATTTATGAACGATAGCTATTTACGAGAGACTACTGTTTATGAATGACAACGGTTTATGAGTGACTTCTATTTGTAAATGACAGCTGTTTACGAGAGACTACTGTTTATGAATGACAACGGTTTATGAGTGACTTCTATTGTAAATGACAGCTGTTTACGAGAGACTACTGTTTATGAATGACACCGGTTTATGAGTGACTTCTATTTATGAATGACAGCTGTTTATGAATGACAACGGTTTATGAGTGACTTCTATTTGTAAATGATAGCTGTTTATGAATGACAACGGTTTACGAGTGACTTCTATTTATGAATGACAGCTGTTTACGAGAGACTACTGTTTATGAATGACAACTGTTTATAGTGGATTAGTTTTTGAACGAGAACGGTTTATAAGTGACTTCTATTTATGAATGACAGCTGTTTACGAGAGACTACTGTTTATGAATGACAGCTGTTTACGAGAGACTACTGTTTATGAATGACAACGGTTTATGAGTGACTTCTATTGTAAATGACAGCTGTTTATGAATGACAACGGTTTATGAGTGACTTCTATTGTAAATGACAGCTGTTTACGAGAGACTACTGTTTATGAATGACAACGGTTTACGAGTGACTTCTATTTGTAAATGATAGCTGTTTATGAATGACAACGGTTTACGAGTGACTTCTATTTATGAATGACAGCTGTTTACGAGAGACTACTGTTTATGAATGACAACGGTTTATGAGTGACTTCTATTGTAAATGACAGCTGTTTATGAATGACACCGGTTTATGAGTGACTATTTATGAACGATAGCTATTTACGAGAGACTACTGTTTATGAATGACAACGGTTTATGAGTGACTTCTATTTGTAAATGACAGCTATTTATGAATGACAACGGTTTACGAGTGACTTCTATTTGTAAATGATAGCTGTTTATGAATGACAACTGTTTATGAGTGACTTCTATTGTAAATGACAGCTGTTTATGAATGACAACTGTTTATAGTGGATTAGTTTTTGAACGAGAACGGTTTATAAGTGACTTCTATTTATGAATGACAGCTGTTTATGAATGACAACTGTTTATAGTGGATTAGTTTTTGAACGAGAACGGTTTATAAGTGACTTCTATTTATGAATGACAGCTGTTTACGAGAGACTACTGTTTATGAATGACAACGGTTTACGAGTGACTTCTATTTATGAATGACAGCTGTTTATGAATGACACCGGTTTATGAGTGACTTCTATTTATGAATGACAGCTGTTTACGAGAGACTACTGTTTATGAATGACACCGGTTTATGAGTGACTTCTATTGTAAATGACAGCTGTTTATGAATGACACCGGTTTATGAGTGACTATTTATGAATGATAGCTATTTACGAGAGACTACTGTTTATGAATGACAACGGCTTATGAGTGACTTCTATTTATGAATGACAGCTGTTTATGAATGACAACGGTTTACGAGTGACTTCTATTTGTAAATGAACATAGTTCTATGGTTAAGAAACTCTGTCTGGTCAAAAGCTATTACTCGTGTCAGGTTCGCCTTCTAAGTCAACGGGGTGCGAAACCACGTACAAACAAAAAGTTAGGGTTGACCGCCACGTGGTCTTGGTGAGACTCTCCTGGGCTGCTTTCATTTGTTTCAATATTTCACTTGATAAAGATAACACAGGCGTCACACTACATAGATATGGCCAAGTAACAAAAGGAACAATAGGTATTGTTAATATATAATGACTATCTGAACCAAGAGGCACTAAGGTATCAGTGCAGAGATTACGATTAAAGAAAGGTTAATATTTACATTACGTTATGGCAATAGCAACAGCAGAGGGTATGTGCATGCATGGATGGTCGTTTCTAAAGTTAATGATATATGCGAGTAATAATCAAACACTACTGGAGGAACATTAAATAAAATGTGAATTTAACTAAACCTGCTGAGAACACCGTGATGGCAAGAGACTAGAGGCTAGAATTCAGCGCAGGCTAGCATTAGTAGTTAATGTTTACCCTTGTCTCATGGTGTAAAATGTACATGAAATTGCAAACTAAGTAATAGTAATAGCAAGAACTAACCGAATGTCAAATGCAGAGTTATTTTTATAGAGTTCCATACATTTTAATCCGAAGTCTGGGCTGTACCATCGTTTCGCATTTTTGCCGCCATGCTGGCACCCGATGGT